TGCTAGAATGGGTGCCTGGAGCAGCAGTGTCAGACATCCCATTAAATGGGCATCTTAAGAAGTACAACTAAAGAAAATAGACAATAACCAAGACAACCAAACCCCACACAACCATTAAAAGACACCTCAAAATGCTGAAGTGTCTTTTAAGCTAACAAAGCCCCAAATTGGTAAGGCAGATCCCCCTGTTTCCACTAATTAATGTGCTTTTAACTCATTTATCTCTGAAACTATTTCAACTCTTACAGCATTAATTAAATACTGTAATTTACCTATGGCTTGAATTCAAATCCAAACTTTGGTTTTGTTTCCTTTCCAGAAAAGCAGTGGGGAGTCAGAGCTCCAAGAAATCATGAAGCGTCGCCAGGAAAGGATTGATTCTGCTAATTAAAATCTCTGCTTTATTTCAGCTCTTAGTCCTAGTAGTGCAGAAAAAGGGAATGAAAGCAATGATCCCCAGCCCAGGCAGGAGCCCAGCAGGGCTCCACTCTGGGTCTAATTGCCATCAGAGTGACAATTCCTTCAACACTGGTGATAAGGGTTGGCAATAAGACCATGTCCCACTGGGAAAGGTGTTTTAATATTGCATGAAGTATTTTTTTTATAACTATATATTTTATACTGGAATTTTATGTGCATGTGATCAGAGCAGGATTCACACGAGTCTGGATGGAGACAAGGGCTGGATTCAAGCAAAACAGACCCCACAAAGCTTTTTTCCAAGGGCTGTTCCTGCTCCCACCTGAGAGAGGCCATGGAACAGCCTCAGTGCTTAGAGTCTGTACCACAGAAACAACTCTTTTCATAGAATCCTGGAATGGTTTGAGTTGGAAGGGCCTTAAAGCCCATCCAGTCGCCACCCCTTGCCATGAGCAGGGACACCTTCCACTAGCCCAGGTTGCTCCAAGCCCCATCCAGCCTCTTGGCTTGAGTATTTACAGGGATGGGGAATCCACAACCTCTCGGGGCAACCTTAGGCAGCCCATTTGTCATCTCCTCCTCAGTGCAGATACTTCCTGCAGCCCATGAGCACAGGCCCTGTGACAATTCCATGTCCTCCTTCTGACCCCCGTTTCCTCTTGTTGGACAAGGCCAGAATGGCAAACACATTCCCAAAGACTTGGCTGCTTCCTTAAGTACATGGACCAGTTAGTGCTGTCTTTGAGCAGTGGAAATGACCTTTCACTGCCCAAACATGAGCAGGAGTGACAAAGGAGGTGATTTGATTCTGCAAATAGGTGAGCTGCACCTACCCAGCCCTGCTGGGCTCAGGGCAGCTGTGCAGCCCTTCACATTGGCATTGATCCTGGACTGGAATGTTACAGCACTGCCAAACCAAACCTCAAACCAGGAGGAGATAAGCCCTGACCATTTGCTCCCAACCCAGTCACTCCCACAGCCCTTCCCAGAGTGTTTGTCACTTGTCCCCACCTTCAGGTTTTCATTGCAGAGAGTCAGCTGAAATGCTCCCTAAGGATTTCAAACCCAAAACCACCTGGGAAAGGCTGTTTTAGCACTAAATAAATGGCCACAAGGGAAAAAAAAAAATCTATTTTAGCACAGGGTGTTGTTCTTTACTTCCTGTTGTACTTCATCACGTTCTGTGCATATGTATATAAGTCTATAAATTGAGGTGAGGACAAATCCCTTTCCCTAGAGAGAGAATTGAGTAATTGTGCATCAAAGATTTACTCAAAATGTTAACAGCTCAAACCAGTACATAGTTCTATCCACAGCAAGTTTGGCACATTGTATTTCTATCTCTATCTAACTTACACACCAACCTGATAGCCAAGCAGGAAAGCAAACACAGCTCCAGAAGTGCTCTCAGACCAGGGAGACTCTGGGTTTCTCTCTCATTTGCTTTGGCTGAGTGGGAGTTTAGGCCCAAACTCCACAAAATCCCACACCTGTGCTTGCCTTGACCTGCTAGGATTGGCCCCACCTCCTTTATAGGTTAAGCAGGTGCTAAGTCTTCACCCAGATTGTAAATTTAATGGGAAAAGGAGTAAATCAGTGTTTGGAGAACTCATTTGTAAATCTGAGAATACCAATACACCTCAGTTTGGGTTTTATTCTTCCAAAAATGTTCCTGGTGGATGATCTATTTCTTCCTCTTGGACCAGGACACTGCTAGCACCAGCAGGATTGGGGTGCAGGCAGGGCACTTGCAGGGGAAGACCCTGTTTTTGGTCACAGTCCTGCTGGGACCTGTGGAGGGCACTCACCTTGTCAGGGAGGGATGAAGAGGACAATCCTGCTGAGAAGCCCTGGCTCTGGATTAGGGTGGAGATGGGGAGCAGGATGGCAAGCACGGGAGGCTTTCTTTTCTGAAATGGAAATGAAAATAAATGTTGGGATAGGAAACACATCACCTTCTTGTCTTTGGGTGTGGAGGAAAGCAAATCACATGGAATTGTAGGAGTGTACACAACAGCTCAGGAACACTGGGAGCCACAGGAGCATCTCCTAAACTAACCATCTCAGTAAGACCTTATTGCAGGAGGCATTTTTCTAAGTTTCTGTGTAACTGAGCTGTGCATCTGTTCTCTTTGTACTGCCTGCAGACAACGCTGTACAGTACTGTACCTTCATGTAACTCAGCGAAGGAGACAATGATATAACCATGCACTGTATAAGATTTATTAAAATAGCTAAGTTATACTTATAGACTCCTTGTCTGGCTCTTTCTCTGGGTTTGAACCATGGGTTGTCACTGTGGGACTCGGATACTCAGCAAAGTGTCTGAAAACAGGTTTCCCTTTGGCTTTGGGAAGCAGCAGGATGTTATGGTCTGAGTCTGAAAACAGGGGGAGGTGGAAATGATCCATAATAATCACATATTATAGGAATAAAATGCCAGGAAAGCTGCCAGCTGAACTCCTTTTCGTGTCATCTTTAACAAATTTACCTCTGGAACATGCAACTGTGACAACTCACCAGTGTTTACACACACAGATGCTGTTCTGACTAGCTTTGCATTAACTAACAGTGTAACAACACCCGATCCAGGGCTAAGGGGGAATGATGCTAAACTGCCAGAGGGAGGGTTTAGATTAGATATTAGGAAGAAATTCTTGGCTATGAGGCACTGGCACAGGTTGCCCAGAGAAGCTGTGGCTGCTCCATCCCTGGAAGTGTTCCAGGCCAGGTTGGATGGGGCTTGGAGCAACCTGAGCTAGTGGAAGGTGTCCCTGCCCATGGAACTGGATGGGCTTTAAGGTCCCTTCCCACCCAAACCATGCTGGGAACCTGTGATTCTGTGACACACAAGGGAGGGTCTGCTCTTCCTCAGCAAATAAACTGGAGACAATGTTTCCTACATAGTCAGCCAGTTCAAGGACTTATACTTAATGCCTCTTTACATTACTCCCTGTTGGGCTGGGCAGAGCATGAGAAGGTTGTACAAAAGCACATTCTTGTATCAGGGAGGGAAACTATTGTGGCAGCTTACACAACTGGAACAATACAGAGGGAACAGCATGACTCAGAGCCTGTTAAAGGGCCAAGTGACATTCTCCAACATTTCAGCCAAGTCCCATCCTCACCACCACATTAACAACATCACCTTCCTTACAGCCTAAATAGAGTTTCAGTGAACGGACAGCCCAGGAACATGTGCCTTGCTGT